TTTTACAAACAAGTTTTATACAATACAAACAAATAAAAAGACATACAAACATGTATAATTTCATAACCTTTTTTCATAACCCTCTCTTCTCGGACTCCCCCAAACCTCCCCTTCCTACATCCCAATTCCCAAAATTATTTCAGCAAATTCTAAATAATTTTATCAAATATATTTTTCTTATTTTTTTTTTCTTCAACTTAATCTTATGTCGCTGTAATCTCCTTTTCTTTCTCCAAACCTCGACATTTTAACATTCCTCAATTTTATGATAGTTCTTTAGATAGATTTTAAATTTCTTCCAATCTTCTTCCACCGTCTCTTTCCCCTGCTCACGGATTCTGCCAGTCATCTCCGCCAATGTCATATAGTCTATAACCTTCATCTGCCACTCTTCCAAGGTGGGTAGTTCTTCTGTCTTCCAATACTTTGCGATGAGTATTCTTGCTGCTGTCGTAGCATACATAAAAAAAGTTCTGTCTTTCTTTGATACCAATTGGCCGGCAATGCCCAAGAGAAAGGCCTCTGGTTTCTTCAGGAAAGTACATTTAAGTACCTTTTTTAATTCATTATATATCATTTCCCAGAAAGCCTTAATCTTTGGGCACGTCCACCAAAGGTGATAAAAAGTACCTTCAGTTTCTTTACACTTCCAACACTTATTATCAGGCAAATGATAAATTTTTGCTAGCTTGACTGGAGTCATGTACCACCTATAGATCATTTTCATAATATTTTCCTTTATGGCATTACATGCCGTAAATTTTATACCGGTGTTCCACAACCATTCCCAGTCAGCAAACATAATGTTATGACCAATGTCCTGTGCCCACTTAATCATAGCTGATTTAACTGTTTCATCTTGTGTATTCCATTTCAGCAGCAAATTATACATTCTTGACAAGTTCTTAGTATTGGGTTCTAACAGTTCAGTTTCTAATTTTGATTTCTCCACCTGGAAGCCAATTTTCCTGTCTTGTTTATACACCTCCATTATTTGATAATAATGGAGCCAATCTCGTACTTTGGGTTTCAATTTCTCATAGCTCTGTAGCTTCAACTTATCTCCATCTTGTTCCAAAATTTCCCGATACTTTAGCCATTCGGCTTCCATATTAAGCTTTTTCAACGCCGTGGCTTCCAAAGGTGACAACCATCTAGGAGTCTTACTTTCCACCAAATCTTTATATCTTATCCAAACATTATATAATGCTTTCCTGACAATATGATTTTTAAAGGCCCTATGCACCTTGATTTTATCATACCATAAATATGCATGCCAACCAAATGTATTGTTAAAACCTTCTAAGTCCAAGATGTCTGTATTCTCGAGGAGCATCCATTCTTTCAGCCAGCAAAAAGTTGCTGCTTCATAATACAGTTTTAAGTCCGGCAGGGCAAACCCCCTCTTTCTTTTGCATCCGTCAGTATTTTAAATTTTATTCTGGGTTTTTTGCCCTGCCAGACAAATTTCGAAATATCCTTCTGCCACCTCTTAAAACAGTCTATCTTGTCTAGAATTTGTAATGTTTGGAACAAGAATAACATTCTGGGCAATACATTCATCTTAATAACTGCAATTCGGCCTAACATTGACAATTTCAAATTTGACCATATTTCTAGATCTTTTTTAATTTCCGACCAACATTTTTCATAATTGTCTTTATACAGGTTCAAATTTTTAGATGTCAAATAGACCCCTAGGTATTTCACCTTCTTTACCACTGTCAAACCTGTTTCATTCTGAAACTTCTCCCTTTCCATGACTGTTAAATTTTTTTCCAAGACTTTAGTCTTTTGTTTATTCAATTTAAATCCAGCTACCTGGCCAAATTCTTGGATTAGCTCCAACACCCTTTTTGTACTAGTGTCTGGCTCTTGTAAAGTAAGTACTAAATCATCTGCAAAGGCCCTTAACTTGTAATGTTTAGCTCCGACCTGTACACCTTTAACCTGCTGGTCATCTCTAATCATATTTAGCAACACCTCCAGAACAGAAATAAAAAGTAATGGGGAGATAGGGCACCCCTGTCGTGTCCCTTTTTCTATTTTAAATTCTTCAGTTATCACATTATTTACAATCAATTTAGCTTTTTGTTCAGTGTATATGGCACCCATACCATTCTCGAATCCTTGGCCTACCCCCATCCCATGAAGATTCTTTTTCATAAAACTCCAAGAAATATTGTCAAAGGCTTTCTCCGCATCTACAAAGATCAGAACTGCTTTAGTGTTTATATTCACCTCTAATAATTCCAAAATGTCTATTATGTTCCTCACATTGTCTGATAAATGCCTTTTAGGGAGAAAGCCTGCTTGGTCCTTATGAATCTTCTCCATCAACACTCTTTTCAATCTTTTTGCCAAAATGTCTGCAAAAATTTTGTAATCCACATTAAGTAATGATATTGGGCGGTAGTTCTTAAGTTGATTCTTTTCAATCTCTGTCTTTGGTATGAGTGTAATGTACGCTTCTTTCCACGATTCTGGTGCCCTTTTCCCCTCTAAGATCTCATTACAGACTTCCTTTAATGGTTGTACCAACCATTCCTTCAAAGCCTTATAATATCTGGAAGTCAATCCATCTGGTCCTGGAGATTTGCCCAGTTGCATGTTTTGAATGGCACCCTCTATCTCTTGATCTGTTATTCTCTGATTTAGATCCACCTTACTTTGGTGAGAGATTTTTGTAGTCCATACTTTTTAAGAAATTCTTCTATATCCTCCTCCTTCTGTGGTCCTTGTGAATATAATTTTTTAAAATAACTCAAAAAACAATTTCTTATCTCGTTAGGTTTAGATATATTCTTTCCATCCACTTCTAGGCTTGTAACTGTGTTTAGTTTCTGCCTTTTCTTCAATTGCCAAGCCAGAAGTTTACCACATTTATCTGCAGATTCAAATGTCTTTTGTCTCATTTGTTTTATCTTCCATTCAATCTCTTGATTCATCAATTCCATGTATTGTGTCTGATATAACTTAATCTCTCTCAAAATCTCCTGGGACTTTGGTTTTGATCTCAATTTCTTCTCTCCTTCTTTTATCTTTTCCAAGATCTTGTCCTTCTTCTCATTTTGCTTTCTCTTTTTTACAGAATTTTGTTGAATTAGAAATCCTCGCATCACTGCTTTACTTGCGTCCCAGATCACTCTTTTTTCTACATCAGTTTTTAGATTTATTTCAAAATAGTCCTTAAAAATTTTTGGGCCTTTCTGTGGATCTCCTCATCTCGAAACAGGGTGTCATTCATCCTCCATCTGAATTGACCAGTTGTTGTAAGTTTCATTTCCATCTTCACGGCGTTATGGTCGGAGCAGGTCTTTGGGCAGATTTCCACTTTTTTAATCTTTGGAGCCAACCCACTAGTAATCCAAATTTGATCGATTCTGGTCCAGGTCATCATTGCTTCAGAGAAAAGGTTCCCTCTCTCTCGAGAGGATTCCTTGTTCTCCAAATATCAATCAAGTCCATATTTTCAGTTATTTCAAAGAAAGTCTTTGGTAGTCTCCCATCTCTGGTGATTACCTGTCTTTGTGCTTTGTCCATATTTGTAGATACCACTCCATTCATGTCTCCCATCATGATTAATTTGTAATCCAAATAGTCCAACAATGTCTCATGCAACTTCTTGAAAAATTCTGACTTCCCTTCATTAGGTGCATAAATCCCTAGTATCAAAAATTTTTCACCTTGAATTTGCACTTCAATTGCCAAATACCTTCCTTGTTCAT